AAGGAGAGGGAAGGATGAGGGGAGGGGAAGGTAAAAGGGGAAGGTAAAAGGGGAAGGGGAAGGGGAAGGGGAAGGATGAAGGGAAGGAGAGGGAAGGATGAGGGGAGGGGAAGGTAAAAGGGGAAGGTAAAAGGGGAAGGGGAAGGGGAAGGGGAAGGATGAAGGGAAGGAGAGGGAAGGATGAGGGGAGGGGAAGGTAAAAGGGGAAGGTAAAAGGGGAAGGGGAAGGGGAAGGGGAAGGATGAAGGGAAGGAGAGGGAAGGATGAGGGGAGGGGAAGGTAAAAGGGGAAGGTAAAAGGGGAAGGGGAAGGGGAAGGGGAAGGATGAAGGGAAGGAGAGGGAAGGATGAGGGGAGGGGAAGGTAAAAGGGGAAGGTAAAAGGGGAAGGGGAAGGGAAGGGAAGGATGAAGGGAAGGAGAGGGAAGGATGAGGGGAGGGGAAGGTAAAGGGGAAGGTAAAAGGGGAAGGGGAAGGGGAAGGATGAAGGGAAGGAGAGGGAAGGATGAGGGGAGGGGAAGGTAAAAGGGGAAGGTAAAAGGGGAAGGGGAAGGGGAAGGATGAAGGGAAGGAGAGGGAAGGATGAGGGGAGGGGAAGGTAAAAGGGGAAGGTAAAAGGGGAAGGGGAAGGGGGAAGGATGAAGGGAAGGAGAGGGAAGGATGAGGGGAGGGGAAGGTAAAAGGGGAAGGTAAAAGGGGAAGGGGAAAGGGGAAGGGGAAGGATGAAGGGAAGGAGAGGGAAGGATGAGGGGAGGGGAAGGTAAAAGGGGAAGGTAAAAGGGGAAGGGGAAGGGGAAGGGGAAGGATGAAGGGAAGGAGAGGGAAGGATGAGGGGAGGGGAAGGTAAAAGGGGGAAGGTAAAAGGGGAAGGGGAAGGGGAAGGATGAAGGGAAGGAGAGGGAAGGATGAGGGGAGGGGAAGGTAAAAGGGGAAGGTAAAAGGGGAAGGGGAAGGGGAAGGATGAAGGGAAGGAGAGGGAAGGATGAGGGGAGGGAAGCGTTAAAAGGGGAAGGTAAAAGGGGAAGGGGAAGGGGAAGGGGAAGGATGAAGGAAGGAGAGGAGGATGAGGGGAGGGGAAGGTAAAAGTGGGGAAGGTAAAAGGGGAAAGGGAGGGGAAGGGGAAGGATGAAGGGAAGGAGAGGAAAAGGATGAGGGAAGGGAGGGGAAGGTAAAAGGGGAAGGTTAAAAAGGGGAGGGGAAGGGGAAGGGATGAAAGCGGAAGGAGAGGGAAGGATGAGGGGAGGGGAAGGATAATAAGGGGAAGGTATCAAAGGGGAAGGGGAAGGGGAAGGATGAAGGGGGGGAACAGGAGAGGGAAGGAGAGCGGGGAGGGGAAGGTAAAAAGGGGAAGTAAAAGGGGAAGGGGAAGGGGAAGGGGAAGGATGAGGGAAGGAGAGAGAAGGATGAGGGGAGGGAAGTAAAAGGGGAAGGTAAAAGGGGAAGGGGAAGGGAAGATGAAGGGAAGGAAAGGAAGGCTGATGGGAGGGAAGGTAAAAGGGGAAGGTAAAAGGGGAAGGGGAAGGGGAAGGATGAAGGGAAGGAGAGGGAAGGATGAGGGGAGGGGAAGGTAAAAGGGGAAGGTAAAAGGGGAAGGGGAAGGGGAAGGGGAAGGATGAAGGGAAGGAGAGGGAAGGATGAGGGGAGGGGAAGGTAAAAGGGGAAGGTAAAAGGGGAAGGGGAAGGGGAAGGATGAAGGGAAGGAAAGGGAAGGATGAGGGGAGGGGAAGGTAAAAGGGGAAGGTTAAAAGGGGAAGGGGAAGGGAAGGGGAAGGATGAAGGGAAGGAAAGGAAGGATGAGGGGAGGGGAAGGTAAAAGGGGAAGGTAAAAGGGGAAGGGGAAGGGGAAGGGGAAGGATGAAGGGAAGGAAAGGGAAGGGTGAGGGGAGGGGAAGGTAAAAGGGGAAGGGAAGGGGAAGGATGAAGGGAAGGAAAGGGAAGGGTGAGGGGAGGGGAAGGTAAAAGGGGAAGGGAAGGGGAAGGATGAAGGGAAGGGAAGGGAAGGATGAGGGGAGGGGAAGGTAAAAGGGGAAGGGGAAGGATGAAGGGAAGGAAAGGGGAGGGACAAGGGGAGAGGGAAAGTGGAACAAGTAGACTAGGGGAAAGAGAAGGGGAAAAAGAAGGCAAACGGGGGGAGGGGGGAAGAGAACGGGGGAGGATGAAGGCAAGCAAGGGGAAAGGGAAAGGGGCGAAGTAATCGATGGTAAGGGGAAGGGGAGCCAGGAAAAAGAGGTGAAGGGGAAGGGAACCAGGCAGGCGAGGGGAAAAGAGGGAGAGGAGGTAGGCAAGCGAGGAAAAAGGGAAGGAGAAAGGGGAAGAGAACCAGAAAGCGAGGGGAAGGAGGGGGGGGGAACTAGGTAAGCGATGGGAAAATAGACGTATGAGGCAGACAAGCAAAGGGAAGGGAAAGGAAAAAAGAAGAAGGGAACCAGACAAGCGATGGGAAACGAGGAGACTGAGGCCGGCTAGGTGAGGGAGAAAGGTAGGGAGGGGGAGGGGGAGGGGGGAGGGGAGGGGCAAATCAAGTCACAAGGAACATGCCCTCACAAGGACCACTTAAGAGTGTCGCCAGATATCGAGGGGTTTCGTGACGAAAATACAGGGACCAAAAATGGACGTTGCTAATCCTCTCGTATCTTCTGAGCAGAATGTCTGTCTGTCGCTGTCGCTGTCTGTGTCGCTGTTTTTGTCTCTGTCTCTGTCTCTATCCCTATCTCTATCTCTGTCTCTGTCGCTGTCTCTGTCTCTGTCTTTATATTCTGTATCTGTCTCTATCTCTATTTCTATCTCTTTTCCTGCCTTTGTGTCCGTCTCTATCCCTATTTCCATCTCTTTCCCTGTCTCTGTCTCTCTGTCTCTATCTCTATCTCTATCTCTATCTCTATCTCTACCTCTACCTCTATCTCTATCTCTATTTCTATCTCCATCATCTACATCTCCATCTCCATCTCTATCTCTATCTCTATCTCTATCTCTATCTCTATCTCAGGAATATATATCTATCTCTATCTCTGTCTCTGTCTCTGTCTCTATTTCTACCTCTTTCCTTGTCTCTGTTTCTGCCTCTGTCTCTTTGTGTGTCTCTCTGTCTGCCTGTCTATTTGTCTGACTGGCTGTTTCGCTCTATATACATTTGTCTTCGAATTTCCAATAAATCTTAAAGCTTAGGGGCGAATTCGTACACACTTGCAACATTGCTCACTTTGACAAATTTTGTGGGAGAAAAAAAAAACAAATCCAAAAATGATACATATATGACATAAATACTTATCACAATCAGATTAAAATGAATAACCCTTGAGAAAAAAAAAACTAAAAAAAAAAAAGAAAAAAATATATATATATATATTTCTAAAAAAAAAGGAACATGGACACAAATATACATTTATAAACAACACATAACATTAATTAGCTAATCTATTTTGCTCTAAGCTATCGAGAAAAAAGCTGAGGCAGACACATCAAGATAGAAAGAGAGAGAGTATGTGTCTAAACCCTGTTATTGGCTTTAACAATATAATCCATTAGTGACTTGCTGTACTAGGCTAATAATCTGGCGAGCGAGAAGGAGAGGGAATAGAGGGGAAGAGGTATTAAATCGCAGGTAATCTCAGGTAAGAAAGAGGGGGGAAGATTAAAAAGATAAAAAAAAAAAAATAGGTAAAGGTGGGTCCCCTGAAGAGATGCGTGATTTTTTTTTTTTTTTTTCAATTTCATTGTTTTCCATTTTATCATTTTCTTTCATTCATAACCTTCTTCGTTCTCTTTCGTTTCTTTCGGTTCTTTTACTTTCGTTTTGTTATTGTGTTTAGAACGGGGTCGGATGCACATGAACGTTTTGCTTTATAACTGATATTTCAAGATTATTATTATTACAATTATTATTCATATATCTCTAAGAAAGTCAATGAACTTTATTTTAGATTCTACATAATTACCCTTAACTCACAAGTGAATTAATAAAGTCTTTATTCTGTGCGAGGACTAAATGATAATAAAACTTTGTTAACGTTTCTGCAATCTCGCCTAAAACAACAAATGTTTAGTTAATTTCTCCTAAATATGTTATCATTTAATTTCAAAATAACGATTTCGTCCCAGGAATAAGCTGTCACCTTATGATCTTTTTTTATTGTTGTTGTATTAATGTCGAAATTATTTTGGATCGTGACAAAGCATTATTTTCCTCCTGGCATATAACACAGCCTGAATATGATAGTTAATTATCGTAGGATGTTTCCTTCCATATACTTTTATTATTAATTTGTTTTTGTTTGTTTTTTTATATTCGCATTATATATTTTTTCTTTCTCTTTAATTCATTTATTTTGTTTCTCTGATTACTTGATATATAGAGCAAAGGTTGAACCGAAAGTTTCATCGTAATGATTTTTTTTTTTAGTATGGAACTTTTGAATTAACAAATAGATAAACAAAAATAAATGAGATTCATAGCAGTATTTTAGAGAAATAACAACAGCGAATTGTTCTTAAATTCACTTTAATATTTTACAAAATCGAATTGTTTAAAATATGTTGAACCTTAATTCAAGAGTAAGATTAATCAACACTTACTTTGATTTCTTTTGTTTATATATTTCGTTTATCCAGCTTTGTTATCTCTCTTGCTTAACTTTATGAGCGTAAGAGATCTGAAGTTTCAAAGCCAAATAGGTATAGAAGTAGAAATTAAGAGTGGATGAGAAATCATTAAAGTAAACGAATATATATATATATATATATATATATATATATATATATATATATATATATATATATATATATATATATATATATATTACATCATATGTTTATTAAACAAACTATAATTCGATTCCTTACGCCACACAATTCAAACAAAAAACAACAAAACATATTATCTTCTGCAAAATAAAACGAAAACCGCACACTACATGCCCATGCTTCACATACGGCACCACATGACACGGAGACGAGACGACACACACACACATACACACAAGAACATGCAGACGACACGACACGA